ATCATTTGCTTTAGCTACTCTATGATTAAAAACAAGTTTGAGTCTCTTCTCACATCCACTTTGATCTTTTCGTTCCTGTCTTTTTAGTGACCTTTTACTTCCTTCATGAACAATATTCTTGATGTCCTCCCATAGCTAGCTGATCAGGTCTTCTGTTATTAGTGTTCAACACATCAAATCTGTTCTTGAGATGGTCTTGAAATTCAGGTGGGATAGACTCAAGGTTGTATTTTGGCTCCAGTGGACTGGCTTTAAATGACTTCATTTTCAACCTGAACTTCCAGATGAAGGATTGATGTAAAGTCCCAGTCAGCCCCTGGCCTGTTTTAAGCTGCTGGCATTGAGCTCCTCCATCTGCTGTTCTCACAGATCCAGTCAAGTTGATTTCCATGTATTCCATCTCAAGAAGTTCACATTTATAGTCTTTTTCTGTGAAAAAAAAAAAAAGATATTCGCTATACACTAGATACTGGTCTTGCAAAATTCTGTCGTGTGATCTTGTTTCTTTTCTTTCATCAAGACCATATTTTCCAACTACTATTCCTTCCTGTTTCTGACTTTTGCATTCCATTTGCCAATGATTGTAATTATATCTTGATTGCATGTTTGATCATTTTCTAATTGAAGACGTTGGCAGAGTTGTTCACTTTCTTCATGACTAGCTTTAGTAATTGGTGTATAAACTTGAGTACTAGTTGTGTTGATTGGATTGCCTTATATTAGGGTAGAAATTACCCTCACAGACTTCTTCACGATAGATCTTGAAATGTCTTTTGAGAATGAATGCACCCCATTCCTCTCATTGTACCATTCTCAGCAGAGCAAACCACCTAATTTTTTTCTTACTGATTAAAAGTGGCAATACATCTATTTCATCTCACTGATGTCTAAAATATTGATCTGTGTGCATTCCATTTCATTTTTGATTTCTACTTTTCCTAGATTCATACTTCATACATTCCAAGTTCCAATGATTAATTTATGTTTGCAGGGTTCCCGCAGCCCTCATTTTGAGTTGTGTCCCGTCAGCAAATGAAAGTCCTGAAGTTTTTCTCCCACAGGCTGACTCAATCTGTCATTACAGTCAAGTGTACTTTGAGCAGGCAGCTCTTTCTCAGTCGTATTTTGAGTGCCTTCTGAACTGAGGGGCTCATTTCTGGTATGCTCGGACAATATTCTGCTCCTGTTCATTAGGCTTTTAGTAACTACGTTTGGAGGCCATTCATAGGATTTTCAGTGGCTAATTTTTCTGAAGCGAACAGCAGATTTTTCTTCATGGTTTGTGCTTAGTCTGTAAACTTTGCTGAAACTTGTTCACTTTGGGTGACCCTGCTACATTTGAAATACCAGTGACACAGCTTCCAGCAGCACACAAGCCACCACAGTATGAACAACTGACAGATAAGTGGTGGATTTCCCCAAATTGGCCACTGGGACTCTAGACACATCTTGGGAATGGTACAGGACTGGGCAGGATTTTGATCCACTGTACATGGGTGCCATGCATCCTGGGCTGACGAGAAGGAAGCTCACACAAAGATAACAGAAAGAGGAAGATTAAAGTAGAGCTAAATAATCTATGAGATGTTTTGAAAATTCCACCCTATCTTTAATGTAATTATTTCACCCATCATGCTGCCGGTATATAGAAAACATGATGTTGTCTTACCATCAATTTTATCCACTTTACAATATCATTTTCATGGACCATGTATAGGAAGTTAAAACGGCAGCTGATAGGATTTCAGCAGTTAATGTTTACAAAGACTTTGAAAGAAGCCTGCACTAGGCTAGGTTTGTTATAGCGTGGGATGTCAGCCCGAGTCCCATGTGACCAGATGCGAAGAAGAGAGGGTCAGCTCAGTTCACTCTCTCGTGGAGAGCTGCAGCCGGATCACGTTACTATTCCTTCTTGAGACCTGAAAATCAAGCCACGCATTGCTGACTTTCAAGTGTTGTCTGACCACACTGCTAGACTCTACTTCCTAGAAACTGACCTATACATTTATTTGGATGGAGAGCAACTAGAGAAGACAATGGGTAGACCCTGAATGAACACAGACAGCCACAGCACTGGATATATTAATATTTACAGAATTTTAAAAAAATTAAACCAGGAAAGAAAATTCCTATAGGACTAGTAAACTCCTGGCTTGAACTCTCACCTCGCTGTCCTTGGCCCCACATGCCAGAGACGGCCTTGAGATTCTGTGGTTCTCACACACGCAGCCAGACAAATTCCGAGCAGCCAAGCTAACTTGGCTACAAAATTCATTGATTGTAGCACTTGTTCCAAACAGCTTGAGTAATACAACTAACCAGTGTGCTAAATAGACACATTCATTTGAAACAGATTTTTAAATGTAATTTTGATGGGAATACACACATCTGAACATGTTCCCATTTTACACACTGTGCAGTGACCGTGCCAACGTTCTCCTGCTTCTGTCCCGGTGGCTTCCCCGCTCCCCGGCACTCCTCCTGTTTTTGCACCACTGTTGTCAGCTAGGTTTCAGGAGAGTTTAAAAAGTTTCATTTTTAAGTATAATAATTAAGGATGACATTTTTAAACTTTTGAGCTAAACGGTTCAGTTTGCTCAGAGATAACATCAGAGGATATTTCATTTCCGCTTGCAGAGTATCCCAGGGACGGAATCTCGGGATTCCTCTAGCCTTGATGAATCCAGTAAGCCTGGAGTGTTGGGAAATTGGAAGTTCTGTTCCATATTTCCCCCCTTTCTAGCAGGATCCATTTATTGTGTGAGACAGGCAAGTTTATTCTTCTGACATTAAAAAAAAGAAGAAACGAAGAGCCTACTTTGTGTTAGGTATTGTGCTGTAACACAGGGATAAAAACATAGCAATGCATTGCCATCGCGACCTTTGTCCTAAAGGGTTGCTGTGTATTGGAATTTCTTTGACCATAATGGGGGTGCATGTGTTTTATACTTCTGATCTTCCTGAGCTGTTGGAGGCTAAATTATCACTGGATAAATGTTTGAACCCCCAACCCTGTGTCATGCTCAACACACCTACGTGTTAAAAAAACTGTTGTATTTGAGTAAAACCATCTGTGAAGCAGTAAGGTCAACCTGAGATTCCTCATGTAAGTAGATGGTTGATCATCAAGCACAGGGAGGTGATTTTGGCCTTGGGAGGGAGGAAAAGCCAGAGGGCTGGGTATGAAGCTGGGATGGGGGTCTGTTAGCCATGAAAATGGAAGTACACATGTAAGAGGCCCATTGACCCTGGCATGTAGCTTTTCAAATCATTACCTATCCAACCATCGGTCCTATATTATATTCAAATGGCAACCATGTCAAAATGTACATTGACATTAGAACCTCACCACCAACAAGACCCCATAGCTTTTCTATGAAGATGCTTCCTTTGATGTCATTTTACTGGGAAATCAAAGTAGGTGGGGCTTCTATTAGTATCCTCATCTCACATCCGAGGATCCTGAAGCAAAGGACGATTTAGAGGACCCTGTGCTCATAGCCACTGTAGGGAGCACCACAAACAGTGCTCCTCTTGCATCTAGGGATCAGAAATGAAAATCCAACCTGTATTATTAGTACCCATCATTCTCTAAGATGTTCCAAAAAGCCCTTTGAGGTCTCATGTAAGTGCAAATGGTTATCATTAGTCAAGTGACATGAGAGGGATTGCTGTTTTTTATGGACTCGTTATACGAGAACATAATGAGTGCGTCACTGAGCTTCAATCTGAGGAGGTGTTTGACAGTGTTCTATGATGTCTCCCTTATTAAGTTGGACGCGGCTTGTAGTACTATTGTGGCCTTCAAGGTGGGCAAATGAAGTTACTAATACAACCAGATGAATCATGGTAGAATCCAGGAAGGACAGAGGTAGTCACTGACTGAAGTTTGGTTCAGTCAACAAAACAAAACTACCTTGGTTATCTCTACCTTTCATGAAAAAAACGTAGCTTTAAAATGCCAATCTCTGACAGTTCTAACTTCCGTATGTGGGATACCTGCCATAGAGAAACACAGTGTTAAGCAGAATGAAAGGGAATGCTAATACTGTCACTTTTTTATAGATGAGGAGTATCAGGGATACTGAGATAGCATCCCAAAGCAGGCTCTCTGGGGACACGTGAAGACCCGTCTTCTTCTCTAGCGCACTACAATGTAATTTTTAAGAGCGATCATGCTTTCACAATTCATAAGTTATGCAGAGAATGAAACACGAAATATTTTAGAAACTGACACCTTTTAAGCTATTCAGACTGTCGATGTCTGTATTGGAAAACCACACAAACTTGAGTTCATCCTGGGAGTTTTGTTTCCAGGTAAGAGAACACTAGTGTCTGTCGGAGAATCCCTGGTGGCGCAGGGGGTAATATGCTGCTGTGAGTCACAATCAAGTCGATGGCAAGTCAAGTGAGTTTGCGCATTGATTTCGAATGGGAAGATACGTATATGAAAACAAGTGTTTCATCTGTCTATTTTCCATACCCTCTTTTTGCATGAGGGTAAACTACTTTGTCATTTGGGACATGGGACTTCAGTAGTTCTGGATACACAGGTACTCCTACCCTAAGAGACTTAGCGGGCCTTCCCTTCAGGGAAGAGCAGTAAGTTAAGTAAGATTGAAGTAAGAGTTATTAGCGGTTTTCCAAAAATGATTTGTTCCATCTTGCGTATTTGACCAGCTGATTAAACCAAATCCACTGCTTGTGAAGCTAATTCCAATGTTGTAGGGCAGAGTGGGACTTCCACATCTGGTCCCTCGGGCTGTCAATCTTCCCAGAAGCAGACCCCTCATCTTTCTCCCACAGTACTACCCGGGGTGGGGGTTGGGTGAGGGGCATTTCTAACCGCTTTAGTTTTGGTTTGCAGCCAAATACTTAAACCATTGTGCCACCAGGGATCCTTGGCCAACTGGCTAGATGTAGCAAAAACATGTGAGTTCTAAAAGGACAAGCCAAGATCTGTAACATGTTTCAAAGAAGCACACAAGTAGATGCTGATCTGTAAGCAAAACCACCAATTTACTTAATTTGGGGGGAAGCTTTAAAATAAATGTTATTATCATTTTAAGCTTTAACATGCTCATTGTTTGAATATCTAGTTTATTATTGTACCTAAACATTTTTAAAAAGGTGAACAAAGATTTTAAAAATGATTTTAATACAAGATCAATGACATCTCATTTTTATAGGCTGTTGTTCAAAGCAATACATATTCAAGCCTGCCTAAATGGGAAAATAATTAAATGGGATTGATTTTTTATGTAATTAGCTAAATTATTTTTAAGAGCAAAAAGTTAATGTTGGGGGATTTAAAAACCTAGACTTTTAATGTTACTATCCATTCCAACATATGCATGCTCCTTAGGCGACAGGACTGCCCATTAGCCTTTCTTGTCGGAGACTGATTAATCTCTTGAACCATTTATCCTCAGCTTCTGCTTTCTCAATAAATAACTGAAATCAGAAAAAGAAAAAGGAAAATAAAGTTATTGCCTTCACATAATTTAGATTAGACCTCACAGTACAGATAATATTTTTGAATACATATTTCAGGACAAAGTTTGGACACTAGTTAACTCTTGGTTATAACTGAAGTTCATCTATTTAGAATGAATAATGTTCAAATGCGTTGGAGGCGAAAGGCCTAGTCTGCACGTTAGCTGTGGAGGTCTTCTTCCACTGTCCGTGTGACACAGGTGATCACAGCACTTCTCAGATGGTGGGGCAAACGCAGGGCTAGGGGCTCGCTCACGTGAGTGAGCAATGAGCAAACCAGAACACGGCCAGGATTCGATTGTTCAGAGTATTTTTAAAAACAAAACAACAACCACCAAAAACCTCTTTTCTTTGCCTAGTATTAATATTTTTACACTATAAAAAGGATACTGCTAGAACAGCGGTTCTCAACCTGTGGGTCACGACCCCTTTGGGGTTGAACGGCCCTTTCGCAGGGGTCACCTGAATCCTAACTGTAGCGAAATTACAGTTATGAAGTAGTAATGAAAATAATTGTATGGTTGGGGGTCACCACCACATGAGGAACTGTATGAAAGGGTCGAGGCATTAGGAAGGTTGTGAACCATTGTTCCAGAAGAAAGGTCCACTCTTGGGGCATGGAAAATTCTAATACATGTGTTAACTCCATGGACTGGGGTCAGCTCTCTATTTTCAGTAAATCAAGCATAGGAGTCGACTTCCTCTAGTGCTCCTGTGTCAGTTCCAAAGGACAGCAGTTTAAAATATTTTCCATCAATCAGATTTCTAGTGACACGCTGCAGGTTTAAGGAGCTTACATTTGGATGGGCAAGAGAATTGTCGTCTTGGTACTTGATGGCAGTCGGGATGTTGCCAGGGTCTACTTCCTTCTCAGCACTGGGCGGCTCGGCCGCCACGGAAGCCGGTCCGGATGCTGCCGTTGGAAACTTCACTTCAATTGGTTCTGCTGCCTGAAAGACAAACACAGAGTCTGTCATTTCAATGTTACTTCAGCACAATTCCTGATTTTGCATAATAGTTGTTCAGTTCAGTTTCCTCTCAGATGATCCCCATCTCCACAATGGCCTGGGTTTCTGAATGAGAAATAATTGTGCCTAAAGCAGTGGTTCTCCACCTTCCTAATGCTGCGACCCTTTAATACAGTTCCTCATGTGTGGTGACCCCCTCCCACCATAACATTATTTTCGTTACTACATCATAACTAATTTTGCTACTGTTGTGAATTAGGCGACCCCTGTGAAAGGGTCATTTGACTCCCAAAGGGGTCACGACCTATAGGTTGAGAGCCGCTGGACTAAAGAAACAACAGGTATCGACATTCTATTACTCAGAGGAAATCATGTAATGAATTTCCAGCATTTAGTTTCCCATGTTAGCTATAAAAAACAAACCCAAAGGTTATCCTTTTTGTAAAAAAAATCATTTTATTGGGGGCTCATACAACTGTTATCACAATCCATACATACGTCAATTGTATCAAGCACATTTGCATTGTATCATCATTCTCAAAACATTTGCTCTCCACTTAAACCCTTGGCATCAGCTCCTCATTTCCCCCCTCCCTCCTCCCCTCCCCTCCCTCACGAACCCTTGATAATTTATAAATTATTATTTTGTCATATCTTACACTGTCCAATGTCTCCCTTCACCCACTGGTTTATATTATTTGCAATTAATCCATTTAAAGCTATAATTGAGTGGTTTTCAGCGCTGTGTAACCAACCACCACTTTCAATTTTAGAACATTTCCACCTTCCCCTCAAGACAGCTCATACCCAACTCCAAATTCACTGCCACTGAGTTGATTCCAACGCAAAGCAAGCCTACATCCAGTTGAGGCTCTACATCTTCATGAGCGCAGTCTCATCTTTCTCCTAATAACTGCTGGTTAACTGGGCTGGAACCTCTGACACCTAACCCCCAGCAAACCCCGGTCTCCTCAGAACATTAGCCGTCATTCTCAATTTCCCCCGAGCCCCCGAGCCACTCTTCCATTTCCTATCAGCGAGAATCTGCCTCTTCTGGATAGTCATCACACGGTGGAATCAGAGGTTCTCTTTTAAGGCTACTTAAAACATTAAGGCAATATCATGAGGTTGAAAAAACTGGATATCTTTGGCCAAAAATAAAAGGAGTTCCCTGCCATCTCGTAAAGTTCAGACACTCAATTTTGCCACATTCACTGAGTTTTCACCATACGCTTGGCATGATTCCTGCCTCGAAGGAGCCAGCTGTGCAGAGCTCACGCAATCTCCTACCACGAGAAAGGCTAAGCCCAAGGATTATTAGATTAGAGGGCCAAGGTTAGAGGATAATAGAAGATGGATGAACAGGTTTCAGCAGAGCCTCCAGACTAAGAACAGACTTGGAAGAGGTAACTGGTGGTTCACTTCTGCGAGATCAGCTCTTGAAAACTGTAGGAACAGCAGTGGAACCCTGGCTGCTAAAGTGCCAGAAAGTAAGTTCCTTAGTGGGAAGGCACTCACAGACAACCTCAGAGTTGACTTAATGGACAGAGCAAAGCCCCTGACAACCCTGGGGATAGCAGTGGAACACGGTCAGATCCTGAAAGTCTCACGCAGAGCAGTGGAACGCTGTCAGATGCAGTGCCGCAAGACGGATCCCTCATGTTGGGTGAAGGCTAACAGAGCAGGCCATCAGTCTTACTTACATCCAACAATTCACAGCTGACCAGGGGGTGGGGGTGGGGGTGGAGGCTAAAAACCACTACCACCAACAACCAAATTTTTTTCAAAGCTACGTATTTAATTTTTTTTAAAACAAAACAACTGTATCATCTTCAAAGTCCTCTCCATTACACTGAATACATTTGTCAAATTCCATTCTCGGAAACATTTTCAAACTCATCTGTTTGATGGTTGACAGCACCTCCCTCGTTTATTTCCTTCGCCTCTTCTACGTAGTCAAATTACAGTCCCTTCATGTCCCTCCTCATTTGCGGAAACAAGAAGTCACACGGAGAGAGGTCAGGTGAGTGAGATGTGTGGGGCAAGAAAGCCATGCTGTGTTTTGCCAAAAGTGACCCAGTGAGATGGCTGTGTGAACAGGTGCATTGTCGTGGTGGAAAAACCAGTCCCCCATCTTCCACAAATCAGGCCGTTTTTGTCACATACTGTTACGCAATCTTTCCAGGACCTCTAAATAGAAAGCTTGATTAACAGTTTGACCTGATGGAATGAACTCCAAATGCACTAGGAGTCGACATTTTCGACCATTTGGGAAGTTGATGGACGACCAGAATGAGGTTTGTCATCAACCGACATTTCACCGTTTTTGAAACGAAAAAAACCACTCATACACGAGTTTCTCCCATCACAACAGTTTCTGTGGCATTTTTCACAGCTGCAGCTGCTCACTTAAATCAGCCATCACAAAAATCAAGGTTTGAGCAAAACTGCTTTTAGGAAAAAATTCTCTGTAACCACAGAGCATTCATTCCCAGGCGACACCAGTGGGTGCACTAACTCATAGTAAGTTGCTCGATGCTCACCTAGTGGGAAAAATGCATACTACGAAACTCCACTCTATTCAGAGCATTTTTTGGGGGGATACCCTTGTGTATGTGTGTGTGTGCACACGCATGCATGCGCTGTGGCTCTTACATATATTGGGATGTATACCAAGTAGAGGGATTGTTGGATCATATGGTAATTCTAATCCCAATTTTTTGAGGGAGTGCCATAGCATATTCCAGCCCTACCAGTTCTGTCTGAGGGTTCCAATCTCTCCCCACCCTTGTCAGTATTTGCTGTTTTCTGTGTTTGCTTTGTTGTTCCCTGAACTTCACTATTACTGTGGGGGTGAGATAAAAATCTCATTGTTGTCTTGATGTGCATATTCCTAATGGTTAATTAGTGTCAGTGCTTTCTTCACGTTTGTGGGCCGCCTGTGAGTTAGGTTTTGTGTCCACTTGGACCAGGGTTCTCAGGGGCTTGGCAGTTGGCGCCTTTTCCATGGTGGAATCTAATGTAATGTAATCGACTCCAGGATGGGAGCTGCTGTGAGCATCCCAGTAGTTGTGGGAAGATTAGGTTGGAGTACCCTTTCCTCAGGCATCAGGGCATAGTACTAATGCAATTGAAAAGAAATTGCACCAGGAATGAGGCTTTAAAAAAACAAAGAAAGAAAAGAAAAAAGGATGAGGTTTATTTCTAATTAAGGAAGATTTCTTTCTTCTTGCTGGCCTGGCTCCTGCATGCATCTCACTGACCTACTCTGCCCACGTCAGTCCACTCATTTTACCTATTACATTCTCTGAACTTAAGCCCGTGGCCCTCCATAGTGCCTGACAACCCTGGGAGCTATCATACAACTCTGTGGCCTGCGGCTTCATCCACCACTGCTTCCACTGGCCTGTGGCCTTTCTGTTTCTGGGTTTGTCTTCCTGCTTCTAGGTTTGTCAGCTCCAGCAGCTATGAGGCAAGAAGGGCCTTCAGCTTAACAGTTGACCCATGGACTTTATCAGAGCAGTCTTACTCACTTCCGAAACTACGTGAGCCACTTCCCTAAGGTACTTTTTTCTTTATATACACTCAAGCACACATGTCTCACTGGTTTTGTTCTCTAGAGAATGAAACCTAGCAAACTGACCGAACGGTTTCCTTGGTGAAGTGGAAGCTCATGTTCTGTGCCCATTGAAAAACTGGATTATCTGGCTTTTTCTCTTTGAGGTATTGAACTTTTCGATACATTTTAGAGACTATCCTTTGTTTTTTCACTGTTTTGATGCATGTAAGTCTTTTTTAGGACGTTCCAGTCAGCTAGTATGTCTTCTGATGTTTTCAGTTTGCTTGATAGTGTACTTATGTCATGTATTATAGACTCTGAGTTTGTCTGTTTTTTTTTTCATTGATTTTTATAGTTCTAGGATTTATATTTTGGTCTCTGATCCAGCTGAAGTCCATATTTTGCGTATGGTGTGAGATAGAGCTCCCATTTCATTATTCGGCCAGTGATAGCCAGTTTTGAGACACCATTTGTTAAAGAGAAACTCTCTTCCCAATTTAATGTGCTCTGGCTCTTTGTCCAAGGTCAAGTGCATGGATTTACTTCTGATTCTCAGTTACTCGGTCACTGTACCAGTACCAGGAGGTTCTGACTACTGTGGCTGAGGGACAGGTTTTGATATCTGGAGGTCAGAGGTCACCTACTTTGTTCTTCCTTAATAGTGCTTTGCTTATACTGTGTCTCTTTGATTTCCACATAAAGCTGACTACTTCGTCCATTCTCTTAAAGAATGGTGTTGAAATGTGGATCGGGGTAGCACTGTGTCTACAGAATGCTGTAGGTAGTACTGACATTGAAGCTTTCTCTTGAATTAAGAGGAGTAGCTAGAGCAGAGCAGAAGTGTTCAAAAGGCAGCCCCCGAAGACAAAATAAAGCAATATAATGCAATATGTAAAGATGTTGAGTTAGAAAACAGAGAGGGGAAAAAACACCTATCTCAAGCTGAAAGAACCAAAGGAAAAGAAATTCAAGCCTTGAATTGCAATACTATAGGATTCTATGGGTTAGATATTCAACGACGCAGGAAGTATTAAAAGAAAATCAGAGGTATACACAGGATACTATTCTAAAAAGAACTGAGCAACACTCATCTAATTCAAAAGGTAGCATATGATCAAGAACTAATGATATAGAAGGAAAAAGTCCAAGCTGGTACTAGTGAAAAATAAGGCTCTAAGAATGGATGGAATACCAAGTGAATTGTTTAAAAAAATCCCAACCCTGATATAGTGCTGGAAGCACTCACTTGTTGATGTCAACATATTTGGAAGACAGTACCTGGCCAATAAACTGAGAAAGATCCACATTCTTGCTCATTTCAAAGAAAGGTGATCCATGTGGATGCTCAAATTATTGAACAATATCGTTGATATCACATACAAGGAAAACATTGCTGAAGATAAATTAAAAATGGTTGCTGTAG